TTTTTTTTGTTTTTTTTTTTTGCCCCCCCCCCCCCCCCCAGATCCTGAATGCAGATTTCACTTTGGGATTAGTCAAAGCCTAGCTAAGGCTGTAAATTGGTCTCTGGGATGGGGAGTCCAACGCATCTGGCCATAATGCTGCATGCATGCTCCATTGTGGTCTTGTCGCTGTGGGTTCTGAGGTGCTTTAACACCACCGGTTTGGTGTGCTCTGTCAGCTCAGGATGGACCTCTCACAGGGACCTAGACACCTGTTTGTCTTCATTTGGGGGTGGCAAAAAAACCCAAACCAAATGTCTGTTTAGACAGTTCCTAATGAATGTCATTAAAATCTAATTAAGCAGATCTAAATTATGACCATTACTAATTTGGCTGCTTAAGTGGTTGTTGCACCTGAGTCTTCTTGCATTTTAGTCAGTGGGAGTAGAATTAATTTCATGTGTAACTTTGACACAGGTAGTGATGACTCAATTGTAAATGTCTACAATTTTGCATTACAGAGAACATCCCAATAGTAACTTCAGGATTAGGGTTCCCCATACTGTCAGCTTTAGTCATCTTGGTAGTTCAGACTGATTGCAGTGGGATGAGTTGTTCTCTCTGGCTGAGTAAATGGTAAATGTTAACCTGTGCTTGAAATCAAAGTTGGCTTAATCCTCTCAACAACACCTAATAATGTTGCATCCAAGGGAGACCCACACAGTAGAAATGACTTCGTCTTAAGCCTCTGTGTAACTCTAAAGCTTGAAAGCATATTACCAGGTCTGTCTTTACTTTCTGGTTGAAACCAGTTGGGGAAAGGGAGTGGCTTTGCTTTTTGCTGTCATCACTAGGTTGTTTCCAGCATAGCAAAACAGATGATAACCTAATTCTCTAAAACTTCTGTTTCAAGTTGATTGGAAAAATTAATTCCTCGATGGTGGATTTTTAGAGTTGTAAAGGGGAGGAAGTAAAACCTGTCATTAGAATACCAGTCTTGCATTGTAAAAGTTACTTATAACAGGGTCCCATATGCTTGTTGCACTGATCTTGCTCCTAGTCTCTAGCCATTATCAGCATCCAATGCATCCTTCTAAATTAGACCTGTGCTTCTTTCAACAAAGTCTCCCTATTTTTCTTCCCTATTTGGAGGCCGAGGGAGAGGAAATACTTTGACTTATCCTAGCAGTGATGCAGGGTTGTGATACTGATGTATTATTGACCAAACTACTGCTTCTCACATCCTGCTTACCGTTAAAGGCAAGATGGCTTCTGAAAAATCTCAAACAACAGTTCCAAAATAAAACTTCTGGATTGTTCTCTTGTTGTAAATCTAAGGTCATTGTAGATACATAAAGTACTGATGGTGGGGAGGGGGAGAAACTGATCACGCAACTATTCTAAAAGGGTAACACTGTCAACCTATTTGGGCCTCAAAATTTACCTTTTGTAGCATTCTTGGAGGATCAGATAAAGGGAAAGGTAACTTATATTTTGAAACTTATTCTTCAGTTAGCCAAACAATAATGGAAAGGAAATAACAATCTAAGCACAGCTTATCCTCCACGAATGTTCAGTTCAGTAAGACTATAATATGCTGCTAAAAAAGGTAAATTTTTGAATCTTAAATAGATTCTCTTTAAGGCTAAACACTAGGTCTGACATTCTTTCCTTAACTCAACCCCCATTGTGCCTAGATTTTTCAGACGAGATGGAGCGCATACTGTTTGCTGTTTGGAGACCCCTACAATATCGACGCGGTGAGTTAAGGATGGATTGTCAAACCAGGATTTTCATCCTGAAATCCAAATCTCCGTGCTTTCATAGATTTCTCTTTCAGAGACTCTTAAAGTCCTCAGCTGTAATAATGTAAGCTTTGGTAGCAGTTCAGTTAATAATTATAAGTACTGCAGTATATCGTTTTGGTTTTTTTTAAAGCCAGTATGGACCACCTGTTTTTAGTTTCTCTGAAATGTATACCTTTTCAGTTGGGTTAGGGTACAGTATGAGTAGTCAAATGCATTCAGTGTGTCCGCTGTTTAAAAAGAAGTGGAGGACAACTGACTTCAGATTTTTGAAACTGGATAGTTCTAGAGGGTTACAGATGGTCTGCATGTTTACTGCAGCCTGGAGTTCTGCTTTTCTGGAAATCAATAACAAACAGCACTGTCTTCTGTAAGTCTTGGGAGCAAGGCTGCTATGATAGATAGTGTTAGAAATGTGAGGTTTGAACTTGGTCCTTAATGTGCTATATTTTTATTGTTGGCTTGAGTCTGTTCAGAATAACTGTTTCTGTAAACTGCAGCAACTGGTTCAAAAAGCTTTTGGGGCTATTTGTAAGCAATATTTGATGAAATAGAAATATGCATGAAATGCAGGTTGTATACATTTGTTTTTAAAATAATTATTTTAGCTAGAAGCTATCTTAGAAAAAAAATTTTTGTATGGGTATAGCAGTTGCCAAAAATGAAATGGAACACTACAGATACTGGCTTCTGCAGACTGTTTTATATGTCGCTCTGCTGAACTCCAACTTCTAAGAGTTTACACTACCTTTCATGGGCCTAATATGATTAACTTTCAAAAAATCAGTAAACCATCAGAGTTAACAGATGCTTGGAAAATAAGAAGGGCAACTGAGAGTGTTCTGGAGGGAAGATACGGCACTGAATAACAAATTTGAGAATAGCATCTGTTTTTAAATAATACTATATGCAAGCAGTCTCATCAGAGATGCTCTCAAAACACTATCTCAACTTGGGAGTTACTGTTTTTTCTTCTAATAGAAGTCTTGTTCTTCATCTGAACATATTACTCAGAAGCATATGCTCCTGCTGCTTGTCTCCTGTGGCATCCTCTGCTATCTTTGGCACAGCTAGTAGCTCTCACAAGCTACTTCCAAGTCCTCTAAATGTCAAGCAGCATATGAATATGTCTACATGCCAGTTGTCTAGGCCTGTAACAACATTGGAATGGCTACACCGGCCCAAGCTGGAGATTTTCCTAACCTGTTCGGCTCTCTAATGGTCACCAGTAACATATGCTTAGGGATAATCAACTGAGTCAAGCCTAGAATGATGCTCTTCCCCAAATACCCTTTTTGCTTCTAGCAGTCTGCAGTTAAGGGACTTTAGAGCTGGAGGCTGTATCCATGTGATGAGTTTAATAACCCTTTGTAGGACTCTCTTGTATTTATGTAATAACGTCTGAACCGTTTGGACTTCTGGCATCCCCGTCATCTTGTGGCAGTGTGTTCTCATTTTAATTCAGTACTGTCTGTGTTGAAGAGGAGAGGAAAAAGGATGACTCCTTCTGTCTTTTTAATGTCTGCTGCTTTGGGGTTTTTGGTCTTTTCCATCTATCTTGAGGAAAGATTGATTAGTTCTTCAAGCTGTACCTTTTATTGCTAGTGATACCTCTACCACATTTCCCCTCCTCTTCCTGTCCAGTTGTCAACTTGAGAAAGCCCTTGTCTGCCTGGTTACTCGTGGTATAGAAGTTGTTGTACACTACCAACTGTTCTTTTTACCTCTTCTAGTTCTATTGTGTGCCTTCTAAGGTTGGGTTGCCTGACCAGGCACAGGAGTCATATGTGTATATAATCCTGACTTTTCTTTCTCTCCTTTTGCTAATAATGTTTGATGATGTAATTGAATCTTCATAGGAATGCTTCTTCTCACAGCTAAGTTGGTAACCAAGCTGCATGAGCAATAGTGGCTAATTTCACGCTTTTTTCCAACATACTTACTTTTCACACATCAATCTTTTAATTTTTTATTATTATACAGCTTGTATTAGGAGAGACTTTGATTTCATATAGCTTAGTTACAACTGTTGTTCTATCAGTAAACTGGCACCTGATCTCCTTTTTCTGGCATTTACAAATGTATTGAACTCAAATGCCTGAGACCAAGTGGTAACTACCTTCATTCTCTGCTGCTCATATCTTAACCAGCTATAGTAGGGAGGTTCTGACAGACCTCTAAGTTCCTTTAAAAGGCACATGGATTTGGGGAAAGTAAAATACTTGTTATTGTCCACAACATTTTTATCTACCAGGTCATGGGCTAACTGTTGTGGAGTAAGTAAACCATCCAAAGTCTTGGTTTTTTCCTGATGTCATTTGTCTGTGTTAGAATTCTATTTTCTAAGCTATTTTTACTTTCTACTGACAGTTTTCTAGATATGTCCAGAAGACGCTCCAGTTTAGAGCTCTGAGCATTAACACCAACTCTTGTGCAAAGATTGCTGGCTGCTTGAGGTGGTATCCAAGGTTCTGTGACAGATACTTAAGATTATCTTTCTTCTGATGAATCTCTGTGGAAAGGTGAAGTGTAATCTTTCAGTATGTTGTCTTCTACGGCACCCTCTTTAGTCTTACCATTTGATTGTGTACATGCTCCTGTTTTGGATACTGAGATTGGAAGTTCAGTATTGGAAGTCCATGCTCTTGTGGCATGGACTGCTTATTTTCCTTCCAAGTCTGTCACTTTTGATATATAGCATTTCATTGTTGTGAGCTGTTCCGTAAGCTGTAATACTGTTCGTTTTCTACTGATTATCTTGTTTCTACACAATTTCAGATGGTTATGTCAGTAGTTCATTTATTTTTGGCTTTCTAATTCAGTCTCACATTTTGATCCCCAATAGTTGAATATTCTTGTTATAGCTCTGTGTTCCTGTTCTGCTAAAATAGAACCCTGCAACAAGGGCTGGGTTAGCTTCTTACCAGAACTGGTTGCTGGCCCTGCTGCTTTGAGGAGGTAATGTCTGACTACAGTGGGATACATCCTTTAAGTTTGAACTGCAAGGTCTTCAGCACCTTGCACTTCTGTTCACTCTTTTAATTAAAACTCTTTCCACAGAAGCTTCCTTGAAACCTCCATGCTGCTTTTTAGTTTTGTTGTCAGTTTTCAGTGAAAAATGCTAGTCAATAGAGAAATACGTGAATGAAGAATAGCAGCTGAGCTGTACTTGCTATATAAAGAGAAGTCAATTTAAGTTTTTGTACTGCTTCTATACAGCGGTATAGGGCTTGCAGTTCATAATGTAGTTGTGAAGTGGCACAAATGGACATGTTTTAACCTATCCTAGATATGTTTCGCCTTTTTGTGTCACTTCAGGACTTGTGTTCCATTTGTCCTTGCAGGAAGACATTATCTGCCATCATGAGGAACACACATGGTGTTCTTCAGCTGTATGTCTCAAAATGAGTCTGCTTGGTCTGATTAATGGAATCTAGTTATCTAAGAAGTGCTGCTCATCTTGGGCTACAACTTCTGTCAGTAGGGCTGTCCATAACCTGTGTGATACAGATGCTGCGTCTTTCTTCTGGATATCAAGTGCACTGCATGCTTCAGTTACTGTACACAACAGCAGCACTTCACCTTGCACAGCTGTCTTCACCTCATGAAGAGTGTTACTTTAGACTGTCTGCTGTAGAGGCTATCAAAAGTCTGCCAAATGCTAATGTTTTGTCTCTAACCTTAGCTCTTTCTGTTTGTTCTCTAACTCAGATTTGTCTTTTAGACTTTGCAAACAGATGGCTGCTTTGACTTGAAGCAGAGGCATATGACTTGAAATATAAGGAATGAGGTGGGAGAGCACAAGCAACTGCCTACAATGGTTCATGCTAGACTTTGTGCGTCAGTAACATAGACGTGGTTTACTGTCCTAGTTGTGGTAGTTTAAGTACTTTATATTCCCTGTCCTGATTTTTTAAGACTCTGGTCCTAGACTAATGCTTAACATTATTTTTATTTTGTGACTTTAATTCTGGAAAGGACTCCCTGTTCCTCTGTGTTGACTCTAGGTTTGGAAGAAAAGACTTTCTCTTCAATACAGAAGTCCATTTTCAGTGACTCAGCTTGGCAATTGTTCCTTCTTCCTGGAGAGAGATGGTCTTTATTCTGCCCACAGTTTAAGCCTAATGGTTGTTTGACTTGAAGCTTGAAAAAAGCCTTACTCTTCTTATCTTCAGACCTTCCTAGAAACCCTACTTCCTGATTCAGATAAACCCAGTTCAAAGCCTGAATACAAGAGTCACTTGAGATAGTGGTGAATTTCCAAGGAAATAATCTTGTACTGGTAAAGAGTTTTATCCACAAAATCTGCCATTTTTTGGAGAGGTTTAACTGGACTCCTATTAATAGTGAGCAAATTGAAACATGACTAGTAGTATTCTTAACCATTTTCAGAAAATTTTAATTAGTAAATATACAAAGTTCAGATAATAACAAAAATACCTGTTAGGACAGTTTAATTTTGTCATTGTTACTCTTGACCTATCTGAATATTTATGTATCGTGTGCATTGTATTTCAGGTTTCTTTTAAAATTTTTGGAAGTACAGCTCTTCATTTGGAATAAAAATAAAGGCTAAGGATAGAGACGTTAGAGAAGTGTGAAGTGTGTAAATTAGAAACAGTAAGTGTTGAGAGAAGCATTTGGAAGAAGATAAATATTAGGGACAATGCTATTTAGTACTGTTCCAAATATTTCTAATAAGTGGCAAGTATAATCGTGATCTCCCCTAAAAGTTGATGATGGAATTGTAGGCAGTCCATGCAGCTTCATGCATATAATTCTGATAGTGCTATGTAAAATTCCCTCTACTGCTGTAGTGGTAAACCTGTGTGAGTTTTTTCAATACTTTACTGGAAGTTGACTGAGATTTATCTCATAATTCCCAGCACTTCTGTTTCCTTGTCCCATATTCTGTCTCAAAGTGATCCCTGAAATACAGAAATAAACGACTTAAAACCTAGTGTAGTTTTCCAAGAGCTCTTGGAAAGTATGAAACGTGTAGATGTTACTTGCGTAAGTGTCAGTCAGTACTGTTTTTAAATACTTGTGTTCTTGGCATGCCTTCTGGGGTTTTGTAGGTTTAAATTTATGGACCCCCCCCCCCCCCCCCAAATGGTGAATTCTAACCAGTTACATGAAAAATCTTGTAGTGTCGTAACTGTGATGCTAAGTCATATCTGACATTTCTTTCATGTGCTTTTATCTAAATACTCCATAGGCTACTGAGTATTCATTCATTGTTCTGAACTTGGTGGACAATTTTGCTGGCTTTCTACTTTCGATTCTTTAAGTACCACTGTCTTTATATTTGCAATAATTTATGTTCTTCTTGCAGGAAAACAAAAAAGAACAAACAGAAAAGTAAGTATGCCTTTATTTTGTATATAAGTGGATATCCTTAGTGAAGGATTCTTAGCTGGAATAAGACCTTAAATCTGCCTCAGTTAAGTTTACCTACTATCACCTTGTGTTGTTCATCTTGGACTTCAGATGCCTCTTCCTCTTGGTCAGGAGGAATGCATACTTTTCTGGTTTGTACGTGAACGACTTGTTTAAGTCTGTCAAGATTTTGTCCTCTTGCAAATTAAAAGCGAAGTGTATCTCTGTGGATCTGTTGAAATAATTTCATAAGTGAAACTTATGTTTCCTTATTGAGATGGGGATGTGGCATATCTGCAAAGCTGAGCTGCTGGTTCCAAAAATTCTTCTGAAGAACATTACAGATACTGACATATTGGTTTGGTTTTAGTGCAGAAACCTCCATCTTCAGATAAGTGTAAATACAGCAGTTTAAACTGTCACAAATATGTGGGACTTCCAGAATACAAGTAATATTTAAAACAAAAACACAAGTGAAAAGGTGGCCTGAGAGAAGTCTGAGTCTTACTTTTAAATCTTTCTTTTAAATCTTTCTTGACTGGTATTTCTTACTGACTTACTAGACTTCTTAAGCAGCATAATGTCTGTCTTCTGTACAGCTCCAGGAATTGGAGAAGGGAGCAGTACCAGTGAGACTCCTCAGCCTCCTAGGAAGAAGAGGGCTCGAGTAGATCCAACGGTTGAAAGTGTATGTATTTCTGATTCCCTCACAGGATTTTTGATAGAAAACAGGAAGGTTGCTTTGCTCAGAAATACAGGCAGCAATATTTTTTTCCTGCAGTATAGTAGTGTGAAATGCTACAACTTGCAAAACTACGGTTCCCAAGTGGCCTTGAAAAATCTAAGCTATTTCCTTATTCCTTGTGGAGCCTACAGAAATTACTGTAGTAATTCTTCAGTCCAGTGGTGTATGTCAGTTGTGAAAAGAAGGAATATGGGTGACTCTTAGCTTGGACAGTTATCTGAAAGTAATTAGTCTGGCTTCACTTTTTTCAGGAAGAAACATTTATGAACAGAGTTGAAGTAAAGGTGAAAATCCCAGAAGAGCTGAAACCATGGCTGGTAGATGACTGGGACTTGATCACCAGGCAAAAGCAGGTAATTGTCAAAGGAACAATCTGGCCATATATAGGTGAGGACACTAAAACTAGAATTTCATACCCTCTTCAAGTGCAGTGTAGTGAAATCTCTTGTGGAGTTTGACAGCAGCCTGACGGCTTACTTGACAGTTCTTATTCCAGTTGGATTTTAACCAAAGGTCACCTGTGAGTAGGACTGTGGCTCAGCAGAGTTGCATGTAAATTTGTAGAATAGACTTGGTCTACTCAAGCGTAAGCTAGAAAGGCAAATAATTTTAAATACTTAAGCTTTAAGTGTGATGTTAACTCTATGCATTCTTGGCCTGCTGGTAGGTTTTGAACAGTTTACTTAGTTGGCAGAGAATTGGTCTGTAGGAACATCACATGTGATGCCTATTTTACCTCAGCTCCTTCCTGCCTTGTTTATGTGTTACTGCTAAGTTCAGCAAGTATCTTAAGTTGTTCTACAGCTCTGACAGAAAGCTGACACTTAGGATAGTGATTCTTAACTTCTGCCAGGCTGGATCCATATAAAGCTTCCTGATACAGTAAATTAAATGTTGCTTTCAATTTTAAAAGTATAAAACACTTTCATGAACTTAAAAAGTATTAATGAATCATTACTTTTTTCTGGTATGAAACCACTACTAAAATTGGCAAGAAACATAGAAAATACTGTTGAAAACTGGTTGTTATTGTTTGATAGGCTGCAATTGCATGCTCTAACTTACTGCTGCTCTGAGGTACTGCCTCTGTTCTTGCAATCCCAGACATGTAAAAATCTTGTTCAGGTCCTACGTGGTTAAGGCTGATTTTCTTGGTGAATACAAATCTTAGACTTGCATCAGCAGTAAAGGTGCTTAAGCACTGCTGTGTGTTACGCTGACTCCAGTTCTGGAGATTTAGGGTTTTTTTTCCCTTTGAATGTCTTCAGACTGTAGTGCTCTTGTGAAAGGAAATGGATAAGTGAACAGGGTCCCATGCCTCAAAAAACTTCCCAAGTATGTGAATTTGCTGTACTACTGAGCCTTGCTATATACAACTGAACTAGTGTCTGTGGGTACAGATGGTCTGTGTATGGTGTTAAAGATGGAAGTTAATCCTTTGTGAATCATGGCTGGGAATATTTTTCTTCAATTCTGTAAGCTCTAATGTAGCTCTAATATTCTTCAGACTGTGCAGGCAACAAAACTTTCTGGCAGGTGCTTGGCAGGCTTATTTGCTTTGCAGCAATAGTAGTGCCAGGTGCTGAACTGTGGATGCAAGAAGAGGCGCAGACAGAAGAATAGGCAAAAATGGTCACCATTGCTTTTGTAACTGCTGTGTGGCCTGGTGTAAGCAGGTCTGTAGGGGCATGTGTGTGCTTTGCTGCATGCCTTTTGACTCTTGGGGTGACTTCAGTAGTTCATCATCAGGTTGCTGTTGAGCAATGTGAGTGTTAAATGGAAACATGGATATAGTCACTGTTACAGGATTTTTTTTTTGTACGCACCATTAAAACAGTTGGGTGTTCTTTAATAACACTTCTGATCCTGTAAGTTTTATTCTAGAAATGTCCTTATGTATGTTGATTTAAATTTAGCATGCAGATATAAATGTCTGCATAAATTAGACAACTTGTATTTGCTCGGTTTCGCTTCTTGTGTAGCTCTTCTATCTTCCGGCCAAGAAGAACGTTGACTCCATTTTAGAGGATTATGCAAACTACAAAAAATCACGAGGAAATACTGATAACAAGTAAGTGGTGGCCATTTCAAACCTTCAATATTTCTCTTGCTGTTGTTCGACCTGTATTTCATGGAGAATTTAGTAAGGTTCTTAAACGTGTCCCAGCCCTATGTCCCGCTTCATGTTCCAAGACCAAGGTGATAGAGTTTAGAAACCGTTGAGGAGGTAATTCAAGAATGCAGTTCTGTTTTCTGGATATTATTTCTGCTTCCCCCATGTTCCTTAGGCCTTTTCCTAAAGGAAGCTGATGAAAGTCAAGTGAATAGTTCTCCACCCCTTCATTCTAGCTCAGGCTTCCTACTTTGGGTGAATAAAGTTATTGGCACTTGCTATGTACGAGCTGAACAAACTATCAAAAAAGCTACCTAGCAGATGAGCAAAGTGTTACTGTATGGGTGGACTCTCTCACAGAGGTAGAGGGGTGGGGGACAGAGAGGTAGATGATGGCTTGTTAAAAGAATCAGATGGGCAAAGCTAATTACTTTGAGGTGATAGCTTTGAAGATTCTTACTTGTAATTACACCAGCTGTCCAGCCCTGACAGCGAACAAGGTGTGTTTATTCTTGAATGAAGCTTCCCTGTTTTAAAGGGAGACAAACTAGAAATGTGAAGTTATTTTCTTCCATTCAAGAGGAAGCATATTATTGACTTGTCAGGGTGTTTTAACATTCTTTTACGTAATTGTCCTAATGTCTGTCCTAAATTTGTTTGCAGGGTGGAGCGAGGGTTGTACTTCTCAGATGTGCAGTGTCACTGCTAATTCCTATACAGTTATTCTTCAATTAGTTGTGAAGTTGGAGGCCTGCAGGAGTTTGAGAGGCCTAGTTAGAAAGGGTCAGTTGCCTGAAATATTTGGTGGCTGTCCCTTTCCATTAAGGAGGAGTTCAGGCTGATTATTTAAGTAGTATTGCACTTTTAAACTGGTGTGAGTTGGGATTAACTTTGGTTGAAAACAGAAGAGTGGGTAAGTGTTCTTAAAAATACTTACTGTTGCTTGAAAGGATTCTCTAAGAGTTAATTTCTTTGAATAGATGACTAAAAGCAAGGCTTTTCTTGGTTTGCCTACATTCTTACCGAGTTTGGAACAGTCCCTTTTTAAAGGAGGTCTTGAAATGCGTTGCTTCCTGTGCTGCACATTTTAAGGTCTCCAGACAAATTTCCTTGAAAAATCTGAAGGCTTGTGAAAGATCTTTATGATTTTGATGGACTGACTGAGCCAAGTCTCATCCTGTGTCCATCCAGTCACTAGAACAAGACTTGCAGCGTTTTCTCTGTTTACCAGGGAGTATGCAGTCAATGAAGTTGTGGCTGGAATTAAAGAATACTTCAACGTCATGCTGGGAACTCAACTGCTGTACAAGTTTGAGAGGCCCCAATATGCTGAAATTTTAGCAGATCACCCAGATGCTCCAATGTCTCAGGTCTATGGTGCTCCACACCTACTGAGGTTATTTGGTGAGTATGATCTCCAGAGATTGAAGAAGAGCAGTTAGAAGTATTTGAACGCTTCCTTTTCTTGTCTTGAGATTCAGTGGATGCGAAACTGCAGAAATTTGACAAGCAACTATGAAAAATGTGGTTTCATTCTTTCCTTACTCTGTGTACCTAAAATGTTCAGAGTCACTCAGGGATTTAGAATGGAAATGGATTTTCAGTAGTCTAGTTAATTTAGGTGAGCTTCTATATTTTGGAATAGACTCCTGGGCTGCTTTTATATGCTAACTGTAAGGTTCTAGACTGTACTTAAATACTTGTTAAAGCTGTTGTTTATAACTAACAAGTACTACTTCTTTTGAAACAGTACGAATTGGAGCTATGCTTGCTTACACTCCTCTTGATGAGAAGAGCCTGGCTTTGCTGTTAAACTATTTGCATGACTTCTTAAAGTGAGTACTTTTTAAGTCTTTCAGCAAGAAAGGAAAAGTTCAGTAAGCACAGGCTTTTGTAACGTGGCCTATTTTCAGTGAACAATTGTTATATAACACACAGAGATATAGATAGATATATAGATAAAATATCTATATCTTGAGCCTGTGTGTGGTATCTTCACCAAAGATTGTGGTGAAGCTTTCTCAAACTCTGCTGTACAGAACATGAGTAAGACTGGTTTTAATTTCTCTCCAGTTAATAGTGAGGTTATTGCTAGTTAGATGTGTGTTTATGTATCTGTTAGTCTGCACTTCTAAACTGTCTTGAGTCTACTACTGGTTTCAAAATAAATGTTGAAGCATTTATTTGTAGTTGCTATAAAAAGCAGATGACAATTACAGCAAACTAGTAAATTACACAACAGTTACTCAACAGCAATTGAGCAAATGTTAAAAACAGATGAACCTTACTAATGTTATTTATGGGACAGACTGTCATTGTAGCTTTAGTGCACTGCAGTACCCTGTGGTGCTGTAGACATGTTACATCCCTGAGTCCATTTGATGAGGGGTGATGGCATTTAATGCTTATCTTCTGCTATTGCGCTTAGTTGACCGTTGCTTGTTTTGCTCTAGCCATCATTCAAGTACCATATTTATGCAGACAGAACTTCGTAGTCTCCTACTCCTTGTCTCTACCCCTTTGAGTACCATCAGTAGCAAATGGATTCTTGGTGCAGCAGCTGACTGAACCTCAAATGTGAACTGTTTCATCCTGTTAATCTTAACCTCCCTGTGCTCACTTGGAGCCAGAGTTGCATGACAACTTGTCTGGAATTGATTTTTTTTTTTCTTTGGTGTGAGCTGTCAAATCTTTAATTGCTTTACACAGCTGACTTTTTAGTAGATACATGTTGGTTTTCTACTCTTGAAATCATGTTTTATGGTCTCGGCAAACACCTAGTAATTAGCTTATGTGATGCTAAACAATGGAGACTTTAGGCAAGAAGGTAATTTAATGTTTTTGTTATGTTTTATAGGTATTTAGCAAAGAATTCCTCTGCATTGTTTAGCGCCAGTGACTATGAAGTAGCCCCTCCTGAGTATCATCGGAAAGCAGTATAATACCATGCTGCTTGACAGTGAAGTGATAATTGGATCCTTGTAATACTGTCCACTTCTACATCTTGTTCTTCACCTTTCTATTGCACATGTCTCTATTGCACAAATTATGTAAACATAAAGTGAATAAAGTTGTGTGTTTAAAATGGAACTGGCATTTGTAAGTTCTGAAAATTTCTTGTCCTGAAATGGAAGCTTGGAGTTTAACGGGAACTCTTTGGTGTTCTTGCTACTGTTGTTTGCATCAATGGAATGTAAAAAATGCATTATGATATTTCATTGTACGAACTCTTCAGTGCTTGTAGGTCTGTTTTGACATTAAGATTAGCTTCACTAACCTGCTTTATTGTGTAGTAATGACAAATGCAGACTCTCAGACCCATGGGGCTTGTGATCATTTAGTGTTGGTGCTATTGATTAGTCTGACTTTCAAACCCATTTACTTTCTTGGTGTTGGAAGTAAAATGTTTGGTCCATAAATGTATGCTTTTATTTAGGTGGTTGAAGGACTGTGACTTTTTTATATTCTAACAATAGGAAAATGCTTTATCATATCGTAGTGTCTTGGAAATGTTGGTCTTTCAAAGAGCTGTTTTACAAATCTTCAAATAAACTTTTTTAATTTCAAATGTTGTTTCTAATATTTGTATTTGCATCAGTCACTACCTTTTGACAGTGTCCTGTCAAGTATGACATAAGTGTGTTAAGTGTAGTATAAAGTTCTGCAGTACTAACTTGGGAGATGCTGTGTTTCTTTTTAATCCTAAGGACTAGTAGTTAAAGCCCATGCATCCAGTTCCAGTGGGGAAAGTGGATTCTTTTCTCTGGGATCATTATATAGTCTGTAAGTAGTGATAATGCAGTTTTACTACATTTGTTGCAGAATTCTTAAAAGGCTTCTTAAAAGCCTGAACCCTGAGAGCACGCTTTGCCTGGCTTCTGTCAATCACTTTCCCATTCTAATTCAATTTTCCATGTATAGTAGTATCTTAAATGGTAAACTGGAGGGCAAGTGAAGTGTGCTGTGACTTGTACTGCTCAGGCTCCTGTTTTTAATGTCCTTCTGGAAGCTGTTACTCTTGCTCCTGATTCTTGACTAAGTACCATTGCGAAAAGAGCTGTGGCAAAAGCTGAAATAGGTAGTAAGAGAAATTTTAACTAATGCTGATAGGAGAGGGTCTGACACTTCAAGGTGCCTTGTGTATATTATTTTCATGGGCAGATTTGTGTTGTACTTGGCTTTGAACTCTCAGTATCGGGCGTGTAAAACTTTACTCTTGATGTTGCAAGTTCCCTGCAAGCTTACACACTTTTTCTGGGAAGGTCGCTAATGGAATTAGCTCTGAGCTGCACAATACATGGCTTAGACTATTGTGTAAGTCTGTCCAGTCTAGCTTTTGTTTCTCTTCCTTGCCTCCCTGTGTATTTCCCAAGGTAGCTTGTCTGTGCTCGGGCATCATGAAGTTACAAACTTGCTATTCCAGCCCTCTCAGCCAAATTCTGTCTGGGAGCCATCTGCTGTTCAGGTCTTCTGTCTACATCTCCTTCTGCCCCTAGGCCTATTAAGAAACTCTCCTGTAACAGCTCATTTAGGTCAATTTTATGGTAACTCCTTTCTGTTTGTAAACTGTGCCTACACCCTTTGTTACTTAGAAGCTCAGAATTCCCCAACCTAGTAAGAAGGGAAGTCAGCTACACCAAATTCAGTACATCGGGTTTGCTTTGCCTGGCAAATGCTTTCTTGCCTTGATTCTGCATCTGTGGGACAGGATATAGAGTTCCTCTGTAAGTGGTTTCATCTCCTGAGTATCGCAAAGCATTAAACTCTGTCTCGGGTGCAGTCTGCATGCCTTTTGCCAGGAGGGCAGTGCTGTTTGGGGCGAGTATGGGAATGATGAGGTTTTTGGTCACAACTATCAAAAGCATCGCATGACTTGGCTGTGGTCTAAGTAGTTGCTATTTCTAAGCAAAATACCAGGTTTTAATCACAGATGTTATTGCAGGAAACCACAGGATCTGGGGATCTGAGAACAGCTTTGCCAAAGGGCTGGTCAGGTGCTGGTGGGTGTGAGCGTGCCCTTCCTGCGGGAGGCTGTGGAACTGCCCCGTGGCACGCGGCTGGCCCGGAGGGTCCCACACCCACACGGGCTGCACCCCTCCCAGAGCAGCCACCGGGATGTAAATCTGGGAATGGGCTAGCCTGAGCCCAGGGAAGGTGTAAGCAGGCTCCCGTTCTTGGGGGTCGTGTCCTGAGGTAGGTGCCTGGACAAGAATCCAGCTGGGTCATGTCCCACCCTCCTCAGCCTGCACTTCTGTACCGAGGCACAAATGCTTAGTAAATTGATTCTGGTTTGCATAGGGTGGTGCTGGTTGAGGGATGGTCTGCTGGAGCACAAACAATAATGAACTATTTGAAGGAGCAGCAGGGATCTCTTGTGAAATGGAAAAGAACAATATGGAGCAATGATGTGAGTGGAAGTTGCCATGGAAACGGAGCCAGTGCTAGGGAGCAGCTGCAGTGCTTCCATGTGGGAATCCAGTCCAGAGGGAGGGTAGGGGCAGGCAGAGTAGTAAAGGGGGCTGGGGGTTCCCTTGCCCAGCTCCGGGCTGGTGGGAGGAGAAGCCCTGGAGCTGTGTGGGAAACGCAAGTGGGTGCGAGAAGATGCGTGCTCCACTTGCTGCCTGGTATTGTTACAATCTCTGTGTGCTCTTCTCAGTGTTTAATGAACAGCTTCATGAGGCTCATTAGCTACTGCTTGTTATTTATCATGGCCATTACCCAGACGAAGAGCCAAGATTGTGTTCTGAGTCTAAACAATGGGTTTATCCTTTGCCAAACTGCCCCAAGAGTGAAAACAACCTTCTGCTGTCAGTGCGCTCATGTTTGCAGAACAGTATTTGTACCCAAGGCCTGTTCGGATCTTCTGGTGATCCCCTGGTGGTTACTTGGGTACCTCCCTGGTAGCCTTCTGGAAAACCAAGAGCGGGACAGCCCGCATGAGGGTAGGAGAGGGAGCTGGAGGTGGTGCCAGCCTGCAGCCCCCCTTGGGCAAGGCCTGTACTCTAGCATGAGTGGCAAAAATTTTCCTCTCGAATGGAGGGAGCCTGCTGCGCTTTCCTCCTTTGCTGCGTCTGTGCTGAACTCATGAGAAATTATTTGCTCTTTTTTTCCTGGCTGTGTTTGCATGCAGTGTGCTGGATTGCTGTGTGGGGAAGCAAGGTGAGCAGGCAGGTGGAGGCTCGGCCAGCACTGAGGCTTCATGAGCCCTGCAACCCTGTGTCTCTGGCCTACGGCTTTTTGGGTAAGGGATGTTTTGGCTGCAGGAGTGGAAGATTTGCAGGGCTTTGCTCCTGCGGTGCTTGGCTTCCCCAGGGAGAGGATGTGCCTGGTGCGGTGTGGCCCCACTAAGCTGGGAAACCTCTGCCCGTTACAGCTCCTCCTGGGAAGGGTGAACTCTTCCTGGCCTGAGGCATTAATCATCTGCTTCCAGGCAGAAATTTCATGCTAAGCTTGGAGTTAAAGCCCTGCTGAAGTACAGGCTGTGTCTGTCTCAAGGTGAAGGGTTATGACATAGGCCTTGTACCCACTCAAATAAAAGCATCCTCTGCTCCAAATGCTGTGGGGCACGTGTAGCCTGTCCCAAGGCACAGAGACCTCGCAGCTCCAAGGCCAGACCACTGGTGGGGACCCATCTGCCTCATTAGCTGAGTCTCTTTTGAGCTAGATATGGGGAAAGAGTGAGTGAGTGGAACTGTGCCAGTATCCGTATGTCTGTCCTCCAGCTGATGCAGACCCTGGCGAGGGTGTGCGCACTCACGGGGCCAGAGCTTCGTATGCCTTGGTGCCTCGGAGAGGGTTATGCCCATTGGAGAAGCTGAGGCGCTGTTTGTAGAAAAAGAAATGTTTTCAAATGTGGATCGCTGAGCCCAAACCGGGTGGCCTGGAAGGGAGGCTTTTGGACGGGGGGCACCACAAGCCCAGTGCTGAGCCCCTGCCTCCCTCCTGGCATACGGCACAGAATGACCAGGCCTGGGGGAGCTTAACTGGCCAAGTTACCTCCCGAAGAACTGGTCCTCTTACACATGGAAAATTATTTTATTTAGGAGGTTGTTGATGAGCAGTGATTATTAACTGTGCCTCTTGGGGTGACCCTGGCTTTGTGGCTGGAAGGCGGTGCTGCACAGTGGCCAGCATTTCAGCTGTGTATCCTGCCCCATGCATTGTTTCGCCTTTTTCCTTCCTTTGCTCCAATCTGAGGGTGATTTCCTGTGCTGTGGGGTGCGGAGGGCTGGGTGCATCCTCACCTCATTTTTCCTGCTGCCATTTAAAGTCTGCCCAGCACAGCAGCAGTTGTGTCAAATGAGATCCTAACGCTCCTCCATCCTCAGGGCAAGTCCCCCTGCACGAGCTCGGCTACCTCGGCTGTTGCTCTGACTCCACGGGATGGCCAGGAGAGGAGTAGAGGTAGCAGAGTGCTCCCTGCGACTTTGCTCAAGCTCAGCCATGGCATCCTTACAGGTGAGCGCTTCCCCCCATTAACGCTTCCCTGTCCTCTCCTGCCGTGGCCTGCGTGCACGGTGTCTGTGGTGCTTTGGGATGTACCGGGGGCAGTGCGTGCCCTCCTCGGCTGCCCATGAATGCAGGGCTTGTGCCAGCATGCGGGGCCTCGGTCCTGCCGTGGGTGAGGGAAGGAGCCGGGGATGCTGGAGCTGCCTGCATTGCCTTCATGCAAGAGATAAGGAGCTTACACCAGGGAGTAAAGAGCTAATAGTCCCCCTGCGGAGCTCAAGCCAAAGTCCATTAAGTCTACATGTGGCTCCCTGTTAACTGCTGTAGGCTTTTGCGTGCAGGCGCTCGCCGGGCTTTACATGCGCTCTAATGCCACACGGGGATTACACCAAAGCCTTGGTCTACTCGCTCCTGTTAATTAGTAACACCAAGTGGAATTAGCGAGCTGAACAGTGGAGGAACGCAGAGAGCACCTGCCGGAGCACGCTCCCCGAGTGCCCCTGGCCCATCGCCCTGAAGGACCCGCCGGTGCCCCCCTGGTGAACACGGCTCCAAAGCCTCCCGGCCCTACCGCAGGGTCTGCTGCTGGTGTTGTCTTCCTGGGTGTCAGGAAACTGTAATCGGCTTCTCTCCAAGTAAATCAGATTTCTGCAGCTGTTCTGGGGCCAGGAAGGAGCAGGGGGTGCCTGGGTCTGCCAGAAACAGTGTCTCCCCTCGAGGATCCTCCAGCAGCTGCTGCTGGGTGGCACTGTTAGGTTTCGATTTCCATGGCATTCCTTTTCTCTTTTTTCCCTCTTGGAATCTTACGCCAGCTCTCAGAACCTGGAGACACAGTATATCTCGGGAACAGATACTCTGAGGATCATCATGTCACTCTGGAAAGCCTGGTTTTCCTCCCTGCTCAGTAAATCTGGTGCCCACTATGCCGAAAGCTGTGACAACAGACTGCTGCTCCTCTCCAAAGCATTGCCCAAACCTCCCCGCTGCTGTTAAATATCTGTGTAAAGGACAAAGACTGATCTGGAGCTCAGGAAGGAGAGAAAGGAAAAGACTGGAGTTAC